AAGTGCACGAACACTACTTTTATATATATGTGTCAAGAATCAAACCCAGTCAAACCTTTGAAATACAATTGAACAATCATTTGAATGATACAATACATAATTTTAGGAAATCCAAGAATGTGACTCATAACATTATTTTTTACAAAAGAAATACCGTATTATAGATCGATAGGAAGAGACGCAATAACATGTACATAAGATAAACGCAAAGCAAATATTTCATGAGATTGAAGAACAGTTGTTTAGTAAAAATAATTATAAAATAATAAAGTTTAAAATGTTCAGTTGCTATATAAATTTAAAATTATAATTACGTAGTAATTTATTTTGTAGACGTAAGTACTTTTATAATCTTATTTATCTCTCAATTATTTTGAATTTCTTTTTTAAATTTTGAAACCATTTGCATGTATGGTAAGGTTTCAATATTAAATGTGAGCTACTTTAAGTTTCTAATTATATATTTTGCTTGTGAAATAAGACACAAAACTTTCAATTTTTTTTTCTTGAGAAGTTTAAAAATAGGTCAGGGAAGCTGACAGTTATTCTTATTTCGATTATTTTGAAATTGTGATGATATGTTACATGTTGTATTAACGTAAGTGTTTTAAGATGGGTAGTGATATGACAAAGTTTGTTACATCGTTGAGTTTTGAGTAGGATTGATATTTAGAAATTTTCAAACTTCCTAATTACTGTTGACAAAATGTGGTGTTTAAATGTAATTGGAGTTTAAGGTAGTCTTTTTCTTTAGTTAAGAAGAAATTAGTGATGCTATGAAATGTGAAATTGAAATATAATAGTATTTGTTTCTTGATGAAAATGTTGAGCGTAATACCAAGAAAAAAACATAACAAAACACATATAAACACGACTCAATCTCAACATACATAAACAGATATTTTGAATTAAAATTCTATTTTTGTCCATATATGTTATTTTTGTATTTATATACTTATATATGTTTGTTTATATAATAGTAAATATGTCAATTTAGTTCCTCTCACATAGTTTGACTTTGAGTCACATGGATTGAGACAAAAAAAAATCATAAGGGCAAAAAGCCTCTTATTCAAAAAGTTCATAAAATCAAAATATTTACAAAAATTATTTAGGTTATAGTTAGTCCATAAACATCTTTTAAGAAAAAAAATATTCATTTTGAATACAAAAAAAAATACAATTAACTCATAGTCTGTCACAAACATAAATGTTTTTAATTTGTCAAATAACTATATACAAACATCTCATATTAATATAAATTTTGTAAGATGTGTCAATAAACTTGGTTGCTTCTTTATATAGAAAAATTATGCACCAACATAGGATGTTGAAATCCTGGCTAAATATTTTAATTTTTCTTGATATAAGATAGTCATTTAATTTTTTGTTATGTGAAAATTTCATCTGTATCAAAATTAAATAAGACATCTCAATTTGAAAATTTAAAATAATAAATTTATGAATAATAAGTTTATGGATATTTTTATTATATGTTGTTTTTTTTTCTTTCCTTTAATGTATAGTCCAAATTGATACTTAAATTGTATCCATTATTTATTTCTTTTTAATAATCATAATATATATATATATATATATATAATAAATATATATATTTAGTAATTATAAAAGAATAATATAAATTTTATTAGAATTAATCAAATATTATCACATTTTGACTAGAATCCATGTTTCTAGTGTCATATTTGGGAATTTATGACCATGTACTACTTACTAGTTTATTAAATGTTATAAATTTTCTTCTCTAAGAAATTGATAAAATTAATAAATAAATTATAGTCAATAATTGTATTAAACTATATATTATATATTTTATTTAATAACATAATAATAAGTATGATATAAAAATATTGATTTAAATAAATAAAATTACAACAATATATAATTTTTATGTGTACATAAATGATATTATTTCTAAGAGTTAATTAAAGTTTTGTAGTAGTCCGAAATTCAACTTAATCCTGATCCTAACCCACTTGAGAGAAGACTTTGAGGGTTGGGGTTTTTTTGGCCCCTACATGAGAGGACCTCCTATAAGGTGGCTTTTTCAAGGGTAGGCTAGGACTAACCCATAAGTCATGGGTCAAGTTCACAACTCTACATAATAGAATAATCACAAGTCACATCGCAACAACACATGAAAGGTAAGATATTTAAATAAATTCTTAACTTAAAAAAATGTGTAAAAAGATATATCTTAATTAACAAGTCACAAAAAAATCACTTTCATCTAACATACAAAAATCACATAAACCACAAATGGATCTATACATCAAGAATATTGAACAAATAAAATATCAATTGACACCTTCCACAAGACACATATTAAGTATGTCCTACCAAAGACTGACATGATTCAAAGGAAATGGTTCGATCCTCTTATTTTGATTTCTCGAACGGAGAGATCTATGAATTGGGATCCTAATGTATATAGATACAAATGGTCCAATGGGAGCAAGAATTTCCAGGAACATTTGGACTATTTCATTTCTGGCAGAATAGCCGTTTTCAAGTTGTGTTCGATCGATTACATATTAATCAATATTCGATTGATTGGTCTGAGGTTATCGACAAAAAAGATTTGTCTAAGTCACTTTGTTTTTTTGTCCAAGTTACTTCTTTTTTTGCCCAAGTTTCTCTCTTTTGTCTAACTCACTTCCTTCTTTTTCTTTGTGAGTTTTGGGGGTATCCCCATTCATAGGTCCGAGATCCACATCTATGAATTGAAAGGTCCGAATGATCCACTCTGTAATCAGTTATTAGAATCAAAAGGTCTTCAAATCTTTCATTTGAAAAAAAGGAAACCCTTCTTATTGGATGACCAAGATAATTCCCAAAAATCGAAATTCTTGATCAATGGAGGAACAATATCACCATTTTTGTCAATAAGATACCAAAGTGGATGATTGACTCATTCCATACTAGAAAGAATCGCAGGAAATCTTTTGATAACACAGATCCTATTTCTCAATGAATCCCACGACATCAGACAATTGGCTGAATCCCGTGAAACCTTTTCATAGAAGTTCATTGATATACTATTTTTATAAAGCAAATCGACTTCGATTCTTGATAATCAATATAACTTCTGCTTCTATTGTAACAAAAGATTCCCTTTTTATGTGGAAAAGGCCCGTATCAATAATTCTGATTTTACGTATGGACATTCCTCCAAATCTTGTTCATTCGCAAAAAATCTTTTCTTTTTGCGATGGTCAAAAAAACATGCTTTTTTGAAGAGAGATCTATTTCACCAATCGAGTTACAGGTATCTAACATATTGATACCTAACGATTTTCCGCAAAGTGGCGACGAAGGGTATAACTTCTACAAATCTTTCCATTTTCCAATCGATACGATCCATTCGTCGTTGGAGCTATTTACTCGATCGCAGACATTTCTGGAACACCTCTAACAGAGGGACAAATAGTCCATTTTGAAAAAACTTATTGTCAACCTCTTTCAGATATGAATATACCTGATTCAGAAGGGAAGAACTTGTATCAGTATCTCAATTTCAATTCAAACATGGGTTGGATTCACACTCCATGTTCTGAGAAATATTTCCCATCCGAAAAAAGGAAAAAACGGAGTTCTTGTCTACAAAAATGCCTTGAGAAAGGTCAGATGTATAGAACCTTTCAACAAGATAGTGTTTTTTCAACTCTCTCAAAATGGAATCTATTCCAAACATATATACCATGGTTCCTTACCTCGACGGGTACAAAATCTAATTCATATTTTTAGATATTTTTTCAGACCTATTGCCGATACTAAGTAGCAGCCAAAAATTTGTATCCATTTTCATGATATTATGCATGGGTCAGATATATATTGGCGAATTCGTCAGATTCCATTGTGTCTTCCACAATGGAATCTGATAAGTGAGATTCCGGGTAATTGTTTCCATAATCTTCTTCTGTCCGAAGAAATGACTCATCGAAAAATGAGTTACTATTGATATGACACATTGAGATCGCTAAATGTTCAGGAGTTCTTCTATTCAATCCTTTTCCTTTCCTTGTTGCTGGATATCTCGTTCGTACACATCTCTCTTTGTTTCTCGAGTCTATAGTGAGTTACAGACAGAGTTCGAAAAGGTAAAATCTTTGAGATTCCATCATACATGATTGAGTTGCGAAAACTTCTGGATAGGTATCCTACATCTGAACTGAATTCTTTCTGGTTAAAGAATCTCTTTCTAGTTGCTCTGGAACAATTAGGAGATTCTCTAGAAGAAATACGGAGTTTTGCTTTTGGTAGCAACATGCTATGGGGTGTGGTCGCTTATGGGGTCAAATCCATACGTTCTAAAAATCAATATTGGAATCTCATCGATCTCCTAAGTATTATACCAAATCCCATCAATCGAATCGCTTTTTCGAGAAATACGAGACATCTAAGTCATCCAAGTAAAGCAATCTATTCCTTGATAAGAAAAATAAAAAACGTGAATGGTGTTGGATTGATGATCAAATAGAATCCTGGGTCTCGAACACTGATTCGATTGATGATAAAGAAAAAGAATTCTTGGTTCAGTTTTCTACCTTAACAACAGAAAAAAGGATTGATCAAATTCTATTGAGTCTTACTCATGTGATCTTATCAAAGAATAACTCTGGTTATCAAATAAGTGAACAACGGGAGCAATTTACTTACGATACTTAGTCGACATTCAAAAAAAGTATCTAATGATTATGAATTCAATACATCTGTTTAGTGAAAGACGATATTCCTTGCTAATTATCAGACAATTACTTATTCACAAACCTTGTGGGGGGCTAATAGTTTCATTTCCCATCTCATGGAAAACCCTTTTCGCTCCGCTTAGCCCTACCTCCCCCTAGAGGGTATTTTAGTGATAGGTCTATAGGAACTGGACGATCCTATTTGGTCAAATACTTAGCGACAAACTCCTATGTTCCTTTCATTCAGTATTTCTGAACAAGTTCCTGGATAAACAGCCTAAGGGTTTTCTTATTGATGATAGTGACATATTGATGATAGTGACGATATTGATGATAGTGACGATATTGATGATAGTGACGATAGTGACGATATCGACCGTGACCTTGATATGGAGCTGGAGCTTCTAACTATGATGAATACGCTAACTATGGATATGATGCCAGAAATAGACCGATTTTCTATTACCTTTCACTTCGAATTAGCAAAAGCAATGTCTCCTTGCATAATATGGATTCCTAACATTCATGATCTGGATGTGAATGAGTCGAATTACTTATCCCTCGGTCTTTTAGTGAACTATCTCTCCAGGGATTGTGAAAGATGTTCCACTAGAAATATTCTTGTTATTGCTTCGACTCATATTCCCCAAAAAGTAGATCCAGCTCTAATAGCTCCGAATAAATTCAATACATGCATTAAGATACGAAGGCTTCTTATTCCACAACAACGAAAACACTTTTTCACTCTTTCATATACTAGGGGATTTCACTTGGAAAAGAAAATGTCCCATACTAATGGATTCGGGTCCACAACGATGGGTTCAAATGTACGAGATCTTGTAGCACTTAACAATGAGGCCCTATCGATTAGTATTATACAAAAAAAATCCATCATAGACACTAATATAATTAGTTCTGTTCTTCATAGACAAACTTGGGATTTCCGATCTCAGGTAAGATCGGTTCAGGATCATGGGATCCTTTTCTATCAGATAGGAAGGGCTATTTCACAAAATGTACTTCTAAGTAATTGCTCCATAGATCCTATATCTATCTATATGAAGAAGAAATCATGTGACGGGGGGGATTCTTATTTGTACAAATGGTACTTCGAACTTGGAACGAGTATGAAGAAATTAACGATACTTCTTTACCTTTTGAGTTGTTCTGCCGGATCGGTCGCTCAAGACCTTTGGTCTCTACTCGGACCTGATGAAAAAAATGGGATCACATCTTATGGACTCGTTGAGAAGAATTCTGATCTAGTTCATGGCCTATTAGAAGTAGAAGGCGCTCTGGTGGGATCCTCACGTACAGAAAAAGATTGCAGTCAGTTTGATAAGGATCGAGTGACATTGCTTCTTCGGTCCGAACCAAGGAATCCCTTAAATAGGATTCAAAATGGATCTTATTCTATCGTTGATCAGAGATTTCTCTATGAAAAATATGAATCGGAGTTTGAAGAAGGGGGAGGAGTCCTCGACCCGCAACAGATAGAGGAGGATTTTTTCAATCACATCGTTTGGGCTCCTAGAATATGGCGCCCTTGGGGCTTTCTATTTGATTGTATTGAAAGGCCCAATAATTTGGGATTTCCCTATTGGGCCAGGTCATTTCGGGACAAGCGGATCATTTATGATGAAGAGGATGAGCTTCAAGAGAATGATTCAGAGTTCTTGCAGGGTGGAACCATGCAGTACCAGATACGAGATAGATCTTCCAAAGAACAGGGCTTTTTTCGAATAAGCCAATTCATTTGGGACCCCGCGGATCCACTCTTTTTCCTATTCAAAGATCAGCCTTTTGTCTCTGTGTTTTCACATCGACAATTCTTTACAGATGAAGAGATGTCAAGGGAACTTCTTACTTCCCAAACAGATCTTCCTACATCTATATATAAACACTGGTTTATCAAGAATACGCAAGAAAAGCATTTTGAATTGTTGATTCATTGCCAGAGATGGCTTAGAATCAATAGTTCATCATCTAAAGGATTTTTCCCTTCTAATACTCTATCTGAGAGTTATCAATATTTATCAAATCTGTTCCTATCTAACGAAGCGCTATTGGATCAAATGACAAAGACATTGTTGAGAAAAAGATGGCTTTTCCCAGATGAGATAGTTGTTGCTAGCTGTTCCAATAACGAATCATTGGTTTAACTGAATAACTAAAAAAAAAATAGATAGACCTTTCTTTCTCTTCGTCTCAGGTCGATGGATCTTCTCACTTGAAAGATCCCCTATATCGATAATACACATTCCAGTTGACCGAGCCTAATTCGAATTGTTTTGTTCCGAAGCAAAGAGATCCACGGGGCGGTTTGTCCTATTCAGATATTCACAACCAAGAAGTATTGAATTTTATTTTTTTTTTCGGATAGGCCCTGAAAGGAGAAGAAAGGTTGGAATGCCAATAGGCGTCTATATTTTGAATTCACCCGACCCGAAAGTACACTATCCATTTTTGGAACGTCCGGTGCCAAAGTCATTGAATGGGTAAGTCGCCAATTCCTAAAACGAACTATTTAATGTACTTTATCCGCCCGCTGGGCTACGAGTGGGTATTTTACCAGAGGTTTTTATTGTATCAATCTACCCCTGTGTGATTCTTGTTGAAGCATATACTCCTCGGGGAGGGTAGGGTGCAGGGCGGACGATTTCAAAACCGATTACCCATTCATTAGATAGAGAAGATCACCAAGATTTCGTGATTCGCTGTCGAACTTATTCCAATTCAATAAGAGATCTCAATATTATGCCTTGAAGAGGACTCGAACCTCCACGCTCTTTAGCACGAGATTTTGAGTCTCGCGTGTCTACCATTTCACCACCAAGGCATCTTGAAAGTGAATCGTATTCCATGAATATGATATCTATTTAGTGTGATGTATGGAATATATGACAAAGGTAGAGTGTTAGAGTCTTTTTATTGATTGGTCATGTCATATAGGCCCGAGTCGGACATCCAATTGGTTCGATTTGAATTATCCAGAGGATATCTTATCTATCTATATAGATAGATATAGATAGATATAGATATTCTATCAAAAAAAAATGGACTAATTAAACCTATTTATCGATTCAATAGAAGCCCAAAGAGATGAATTGAATAGGGTCCTAAATAATGAGAGATATGTGAAAAACAGGTCCGATTACGCCTATTCCTAATCCTAAATAGAATGGACGCAGAAATCTATATGTAAACATAGTATCTATTTAGATACGCTCGAATGAACCCTTCTCATAATGAGAATGTATATAACCCCATTTCGGTTGGGTCCGGTATAGAATGAACTTAGAATCATGGAATCGACTCGATCATCAGATTTTCGATTCTAAGTTCATAACCCTAGCCCATTCCCATTTTGGGCGGAGCATATCTACTAATTCTTTGATTCCAGTTAGTAAGGTAAGAGTTGAACTAAGAAATAGATTCTAGAAGCTAAAAAAGGGTATCCTGAGCAATTTCAATAATAGGGTTCATTGATATTCCTGGTATAGTAGATGCTATCACACATACAATCATACTTAATTCGATGGAATTGTTTGATCTTAAAGAGGACCTTCTATAATTTCGCACGTGAGGAGTTATTTCTTGGTTTCGTCCAGTCATTAATAACTTGATTATTTTTAGATAATAGTAGATAGAAACAACGCTTGTAAGGAGTCCTATTGAAACTAAGAAATATAAGCCTGCCTGCCATCCACACTAGAATAAATGAAGTTTTCCGTTTAGGTTCATAAGGTGGCTGCATAAGGGATAAACATGTGATTTTCATTAAAGTTGACGTGACAGTGATTAAAAAATTCTGAGTTAGAGTTTGGGTTGCAGAAATCGTGATTTGGGGTTAAGCATGGTGTAATCTAAATTGTCTGAAAACAGATTGATTGTTCCCCAAATTGTCCGATTTCAAAAAATGGTGTAATCTAACAATATGATCTGCAATTCCCCATGAAAAGGACTAAGGAAAGTTATTCAATATTCTCTAACATAATTTCAGTAGTTTTTCATTATTTTGGAAGGAGATGCTGAGGGTTAGTGTTTTATCCTAGTTTTAGAATTTAGCTTTAATGCTTTGTGTGTGAGAGAGAAGTTTTATGAAAACTGATTGTTATATCCTAACTTGATCATATTCATGCTCTCTTTATGTATGCATTTATACCCAGTAAATTGTTTGTCATACATTCTCTAATACAGGTAGAATTGGTCATTCTGCCCCGGTCAGTTGTTACTGAGAGCCCACCAGATCAACAAAATCAGCCTCCTCCTCCTCCGCCCCCTCCAAAAAATCAAGAATCAGCTGAAGAACAAAATGAAGAGGAAGATCAAGAGGTTGAGTCAAACCATTCTTCAAGTTAATTAACTTTTTCAAAGACATCCTTTTTGAAAGTAATAGATTTTGGTCTATTTACTGGATAATATTTAACGGCGTGATGAAAAAGATTTAATTGTACACTTTTTTCACAAGTTGAGACCACATTGAATTTTTTAAAAAAAGATAGGATGAACTTGAACATTGCCCCTTAAAGGAGATCAAAAGAGTTATTAAGCCTTTAATGTATACACTTTTAAAATCGGATACTAAACTGAAAAAATCACTTAACATGACTAAATAAACTACTAAGCCTTAGATTTATGTCTATATTAAAATAATTTGTATATTCCATAGGTTCTTTTATTACTTTGTATAAAAGAAATGTGATTCAAATTTTGATTAACAAATAAGAACAAATAAATTTTATTTGAAGATAAGATTCTATTTTTAGTATTTTAATTATGGCGAAAAATATACATAAAACGTTGATAACAAAGTTTGAATTTAAAATGCTAAATCGCAAAAAAACAGTAAAGATATGGTAATAAAGTTTGAATTTGAAATTCAAAATTAAAAAAAATGTAGAGAAATGACATCTTTCTAATACACCATTTTAATATTTTTAAACAACTTTAATATGTCTCTAATCTATTGGAAGAGTTGGTTTTTAAGAAATGAACAAAGCCTGGAAGATGAAGAATTCAAATTTTTTAATTGAAATATGTGAATAATAACAAATAACAATAATAATAAAATTAAAATATGATATAAAACAATAAAAATAATAATTGAACAGTGACATAAGTAATAAACTAAAAATAAACTAAATAATAAAATATTGAAAATAATTTAAAAAATAATTTCCACAACAATAACAACAGTGATTATTAAAAAATTTAAATTATAAATTCTTTAAACCTTTGAAGATATAAAAATAACTAACAATTTAAATTTTAATCTTTTTCTAAAATTAATATTCATATTGCCAAATTTAAAATTTGAAATATATAATAACAAAGTTTAAATTTGAAGTTCAAAATCTCTAAAAAGAAAAAATAAAAAAATGGTAACAAAGTTCTGTTTCGAATTAAAAATCCAAAAAAAAAATGAAGCCTTTTTAATTGACCATTTTAAATTTCGAAACAACTTTCACATGTTTTTAACCTATTAGAATAATTTGTATTTAAGATAAAAACAAAATTTATATGATGAAAAATTCAAAAGATTTAATGAAAATATGTGAATAATGACAAATAATAATAACAAAAATTAAAATATGATATAAAACAGTAAATAAATAATTGAATAATGACATTATTAATAAACTAAAAAAAAAAACTAAAAAAAAAATCTTGAAAATAGTACTTCACCATTTAAAATTGTAATACACTTATGTTAAATTAAAACAATAATTTAAAAATTAAATTCAACAGCAATATTGTTAAAAGGTAAAAATTATAAATTTATTAAACTTTTAAAAATCTAAAAATAACTAATGATTTCAGTATCAACATTTTTCTAAAATTAATGTTCTTATTGCCAAATTTCAAAATTTAAATATATAGTAAAAAAAGTTTGAATTTGAAATTCTAAATCCAAAAAAAAAAACTAGAATAAATATGGTAACAAATTTTGAATTTAAAACTTAAAATAAAAAAATTACAAAAAATGAAACATTTTTAATGGACCCATTTAATGTCTCTAAAAAAACTATCATATATTTTTAACCTATAAGAAGAGTTTTTATTTAAACTGGAAAAAAATCTGAAAGATAAAGAATAAAAAACATTAATGAAAATCTGTAAATAATGAAAAAAAAAACTTAAAGTATGATATAAAACAATAAATAAATAATTAAATAATAACATCATTAGTGAACTAAAAATAAATTAAATAATAAATATTATAAATAATATAAACACTCAAAACTGTAATACATTTATATTAAATTTAATTAACATAAACATGAATATATTATTAAAAAGTGAAAATTATAAAAAAATTTAAACTCTTAAAGATATATAATGATATAATAATAAATGATAATATGTAATAATAATGCAGTAACATAATATTATTAATATAATAATGATAAAATTTAAAATATTATATAAAAAAATGAATGATTAAATATTGACATCATTAATAAAGTAAAAATAAAATAAATAATAAATTACTGAAAATAATACATCATTTAAAATTACATAACACTTATGTCAAATTTATATTAAACGTGAACAGTATTAAGTTAAGGTTTTCATCTTGAATCTTATTTATCATTATTATTTAAAATATAATATCTATTTTTAGTTTCTTTATTTACTTTTTTAATTATTATGAAAATTAAATTAAATGGTCTTAAAAATAATTTCATGCATGCGTCAAAATACTTTTCAACATTGAATAATGAAACAAGGGTAAAAGAAAGATAATTTCTTAACCAGTAAATTTCTTAACCAGTAAATTTCTTAAGAAATATTATCAGTTATGTTCTCTATTACTTTAATATCATTTATTATTAAATGCAAAATTCATCAAATAAATAGAACTTACACTTCTAATTAACATGTCTTATTCAATAATAAAAGTGGATACAATGCGCTCATTTTAGATTATAATAACAAAACAAATTATTATAATTATTAAAATAAGATATATTATTATATTTTAAAAAAAGCATTATAAATAGTTGTAAAATATATAATTCTTATAATTTCACCATAGTTATTTTTTATAGTACATAATTGATTAAATTTAAAAAACAACTAAAAAACTTAAATAGCAAAAGAATAAAATGAGATATGCCAATATAAGACTAAAATTAAAAATAAATCTACAAACAATACAATTAGAACCATCACAACAAGAAAATTTCTAAAGATCAACCAAAAATGAATATAAAAAAAAGTCAAAACTTAACTAAAACAAAAAATAAAACACACCTTAAACTTAAATAAGTGATTGTATATTGCTGACACGTGGCAGTTTGGATGATATCTAAACACATTTAAAAATTGAACATCTGATAACATGTAGAAATATTTAAAGTTTATAATAGTTTACCATGTTTTGTAAGTATTTGTAACAATTATAAAAGTTGTAGGTTTATGTATATATAATGTAATTTTTTAAAAATTATTGAAGTATTTAATGTATAAATTGATTTATATGGTCTTGTAATATATGAATGAGAAGAGTAATTTAACACTTCAATAATTGTGCACACAGTGCATACCTCAAGCGACTGATACATCTAGCAATCAAACACTTCAATAAACTGATTAGGTAGACAACTCTAAATCCAAAATCCAACAGAAGGAATACAGAAAGATTTTTGTAAAACATACAGAAAAATGATATTTTGACTCAGATTTTTAGTTTTACAATCTTTTTTGTAATTTTATAGGACACTAACAACATATCACAGACTAATAATATAACAATCAATCACAATGGTAATTTTTATAGCCGACTATTATTCTTTTGGCTTAAAACAAAACATAAACCATGATCACAATTATGCTATTTATTATGCTATCAGGTGGCAAAGATGACCATTTATAGGAAACTCACAGCAGAGAAAATATGAAGCTCGCTGTTGATACGATGGTATGATCTTCATTTCTCTGAGTTTCTCCACCCAAAATCTGATACTCTTGAAGGTATCAACATGCCCAAAAAATCCATATTCTCTACTCTTGTTCATGCTAGATACATGTTGAAACTTAAAACGTAGCACCGCTTGTAGGGCGTCAAAGCAGGTTATTTCCTCCAATACGGTGTTGTGAAGCTCGTATTTCTCCACGATCTCCTTCCAAAC